GCTGCTGCAAAGAGCAACTGCTCGTTGAGCTGGGTGCTGGAGCAGGAGAGCTGGAAGAGCTGGGGGAGGTCACAGTAGAAGTGATTGATCACATTGGGGCCACAGAATTTCAGAGTAGACAAGGCAACAGTTTGAGTCAGTGCATTGGTGAAGGAAAAGACACAGGACATGCCAGCCAAGGCCTTCTGCATCCTCCAACCCATACGCGTGTTGTAGGTGAGAGGCTGGCAAATGGCCAGGTAGCGGTCGTAGGCCATGACAGTCAGCAGAAAGCAATCCGTCCCGGCCAGCAGATGGAAGAAGAAGAGTTGAGAAAGGCATGCCCGATAGTGGATGGTTTTGTTGTGGGATATGAAATGCCTCAACATGGCAGGGACAGTGACACTGATGCTCCCAACATCTAGCAGAGACAAGTTTCCCAGGAAGAAGTACATGGGGGTGTGGAGTTTGGGTTCCATAAAGATGGCAGCAAGGATACTAAAATTACCACCAATAGTCGCTACATAAGCAAGAAGGAAGACGACAAAGAGAATGGGCTGTAGAGCTGGAGTCTCTGTTAGGCCCAGCAGGACAAACTGGGTCACAAGTGAATCATTTCCTGAGGCTCCCAGATCCATGACTGTCTTCCACCTGCAGTAGATTGAGCAAAGTTTGAAGGCACCAATGGTGGTAAAAGGAGAATGAGATCTTTATAACAACCATCAAGTGTGACAATGTCCAGGAGAGTAAAGACACACAAAATTTAGGGAGGAGAAAGTTAAAGATTGAGCTATAATAAGAAAAGGCTTGATAAATCTGACTCTTCATGGGCAAGAACAGAGGCATTGGACAGCCACAAACAGAGATAGATAAACTGATAAAAAAAGAATAAGAGCAACATTTGAGGGACATTGAGTTAGAGGGACAGACAATTTTCCAGAGGCCAAATTTCCAGGAAAGAAACCTCAAGTCTACAGGTGGCAGCACTGTGATAGTTTAGGGGTACACAGATCCCAGAGGATGAAAGGGAAACTTTGGGAGAAGGGGGTAGACACGGTGCCTCCAACCTGCATCTCCAACCTCCACATATGAATGTCATCTTACAGTCTTACAGTTGGTAACCTCGGGATTTTGGTTCCAGGACTCCTTGGATACCAAATCCTGCAGATGCTCAAGTCTCATAGATAAAGTGGCATAGTCTTTGCATGTAATCTATGCACATTCTCCCACATACTTTAGGTCATCTCTAGATTATGTATATTACCTCTTGCAATGTAAAAGTCATGTAAATAGTTGTAACACTATACAGTTTAGATAATAATGACAAGTAAAACTTCTCTACAGGTTCAGCACAGATGCAATTCTTTTTCAAATATTTTTTTATCTGTGCTGAGTTGACTCCAAGGATATAGAACTCACAGAGACAGAGGACTGACTATGAGTGATGGTAGCAGTGAGGTGATTCCTGTGGCCCAGACTATTAAATGATTAACTCGTGAAGCCATGAGCCTCCACCTGAACTCCTCAGAAAAAAGGTAAAAATGCAATGATAAATCGGGAAACTGCATGAAGACACATCATTGAAGACATTTCCAGCTCCAAAATCAGTGACTGACAGCCTTTTAGATTTTCTAAATAGTCAGATTGTTTTGCATTTCTCCATATAAAATCTAGGAAATTTGGGGCCCAAAGTACTGACATTTTATTTAATAAGAATCTAAAATGATCTTTGAGAAGAGTGAGAGTTTCAAGGTTTAAGCTCTCAGGTGATGGAGCAGATACAAAGTTGAGCTGCCTCACTGGATACACAGTTGATCTCTCCCAGAAGGAATGTGGAGTAAGCAAGAGAACCAGACCCCAAATTCCACTCTGCTTCCAATTCTACCACCACTTAGCTTTTTGCTCTTCTTTCTACTGAATCTAATCAGTCATCATCTAACCCATATAGTATCATGGGCTTAATGACCAGATAAAGCCACAGTTACAGAGCCATGTATGATGATCATGTGTGGGAGCCACTGCTTAGCCCCAAAGCAGCCACCCCAACAAAATACCTGGTAGCCTACATCGACCTCTGCCTGAGGGGGTAGATATTGAATTCACTCACCTGGAGCCTAGTTCACATAGGAAATGGCTTGAGTCAAAGATCCCCCAGGGCAAAAGGCAAGAGCAGAAGGAGACACACCTGGAGGAATAGTGTCCTCAGGTCCATAATGGGTCAACTGCCATCTGCAGGTGTGACCTTTACCGCATGGACATGTTCTTACCATTACCTCCAACTCAGTCTCTCCAAGCTGAACCTGCCCTCTTTCCATCCTGACCTGCCCTTCATGGAACTATTTTGGTAACAGGCTTGCCATCCTCTCAGTTAGTGTGGCTCAAAAACTTAGTCTTTGCTGACTGCCTCCTTCTGCCCTCTCACAATCAAATACCTAAGTCCCACTGGAGTTTTGCAGGGGAAGGAAAAGCTAGTCCGGAGTCCAGAGGGAGAACTTCACTTTCATGGAAACTCAGTTGTGAGTATGCAGCAGGGATGGCACTCACCTGGCCAAGAAGACTTAACTGGCACTTCATGGGCAAAGAAGAGGGACAGTCATGCCAGCCCAGTGGACCCCACAGAAGGAGAGCTTATAAAGGACCAATAGACACAGAGACAAACAACTTGGCTGACATCATTTTCACATTGGGATTTTTCTTCTCCACCTTGTTACCCCTTGGAGGCTTCAGAAATTAGTGTCTTCAGGGGACAGGTAAACATCTCCCTTTGCCAAACAGATAATGATCTCTAGTAACTTTAAATTTTTTT